GTTGCTGCTCAATGTTTTGCACGTAATGAGTGGGATTCGTTGGCCTGTTTTTCTTGCTTGAATATACACGCTCAGACGATGTTTTCTGATCAATCATCTTCGAGCAAAAGTTTTGGCTCGAAGAACATCCGCTCACTGGCGCCTAAGATTTCGCAATATGCGCACTGAATCGCTCTCTCGAATGAATGGTCTCCCATATTACGAGGTTGAGTTTCAGCTGAGAAACAAAGCCACTAAAGGAAGCGACATTTCAAAGTTACCAACCTAATAGTTTCACAGCTCACTCGACTGGCTGCTTTGGAAAATCACACACTGGGCAAGAAGATCGATGCCATGTTTTTACGCACATGACCTGAGGACAAGGTCCGTGGTTCGAGGCAGGCTCACTCTAGAGCATAAAGCTCAATTCTCAGACAAGAGTGACCCTCCGGTGACCGTTGGACTGACACGATTAACGAGTGAGTCTCTCGGGATACCAAACGAACACAAGGAGGGTCGCGTCCACTCAATTGTCTGAGCTTTTAACGAAGTTTGGCGCATGCTAAAAATAGAAAGGGATTAAAGGCCCTCAAGCGTGGACGACTCAGGGAGATTCTGTAGTGGGTACTGAAGAATGAGGACGCTGATCACCCAGGGCAGGGAGGTTCGAAAATTCAAATGGATGGCAAGTTATAATGATAATGGACAGAGCTTCCAGCGTTGATCAATCGCTTTTGGTATGCGCCACCCATTCTATTTACTTTCGAATTGTAGCAGTATTTGAATGCGGCATGACCCTAGAGAACAATTGCTATCGCCCACATCTTCAAACAGAAGGGTGACGCGATGGACTGCTCCAACCACTGAACTCTCCCGGAAACAGTTCGAGTTCATGCCGTGAAAGGTCCACAACGGATGCCATCTTCATCGCAAGGCAAGTGATGGAGAAGTATCGAGAAAAGCGCCGACCCTGCTACCTAGCCTTCCTCGACCTGGAGAAGGCGTTCGACCGGCTACCGCGAGCAGTACTATGGAGAGCGCTCAGGGAACGAAACGTGCCAGAACACCTGGTCTCTGTGGTGAATGATGTGTACAATGGGGTTACAATAACACTCCGCACAGCCGCAAGGTGCAGAAATGGCGGTTGGTGAGCTCTGGCTGTATGTCATGAAGGCCAGGTTCCTGAGCTCTGAAGAGGGTACAGAGCCGATTATGGACGGCCATGGAAAAGGCATCGAAAGGGTGGAGGACTTCCGATACCTTGGAAACGATCTGGCTGCCGACGGTAGTGTGGACCAGGCAGTAAAAAGGCAAGGACCAACGCGGCATGGATGAAATGGAAAGTCGCTTGGCTCAGACAGAATAGCAATCAAAAGGCACGGCGACCACGCGGCATGGAAGAATGTAAGTCGCTATGTCAGACAGAAGCCGACCGGAATTGATTGCAGCATTTTTCGTGCTACATAGTAGACAGCACTACACATCGTTTCACCTGTCGGCCATGCAAAATAGCACAGTTTATGGGATTTCAGTTGCCAAATTCAGAGGTATCGTCGCCTTCAAAACGTGGACTATATTCGCAATGGCGGAGGATTGCTCGTATTTCTTCCGCGGCAGGCTAAGTCGTTGCGGAGTTTGATCATCTAGCACAATGACATGCAACACGCATACATCCGTTCGTCTGGCTGCGCTACCCAGGCTCGCCGACCACCACTTGACCTTACGGCAGCTTTTGGCTATGCTAGCAAGCTAGAGGCAGTATAAAAATTAGGGATATGAACCGTGAACACAATAAATAAGTGAATTTGAAGGCGTGGCGGAAACTGAGCTAGGGCAGTAGAGTTTGCAATAAGAAGAACTAAGTGATGCGGGTAAGCCCAAGTGAAGGCTGAAACGACTCGTTTATAGCTGGTTTGATAAATGAGGGATTGAGAGAAATCCGGGAAGAGATTCTCGAAGTAGAAACACTTTCTTGCGCTTATTACCCCAGTTTCGACTACCAATGATTCATTCCTCAGAGCTTTTTGGAAAAAGGCGTCGTAGCCGCAATGGTACAACAGGTTCAGAATTAGGGTGGGTCAGGATCAAGGCTGTGGCAGTGCGGAGTTTGAGGATGTTTAGCTCGACGTAATGCAGCAATTCCGCGTCAAAGTCAACCAGGCAGGGTAGCGTACGTCCCAATTCATCTATTCTTTCCCATGACGCAAGAAAAACTCTTGCACCTTTAGCCAGGGTTTACAAATAAGTCACGACCGCTTGTGGGAAGGGGGGGAAATGGGAAAAAGGAGAACATTTGAAAATGGATACGAGCAGGATTTATCTGGCGTTCATCCTGACATAGACGAGCACTGGTTTGACTGGAATATCGGTTCCTTCACTGCAGGTGCTGCGCTTTTGTCGCGATGCCACAATATGTATGAATCACCTAATTCTCCTTCCTGTTACGGTGGGCAGCCGGCCGCCTGGTTAGTGTTGGAATAATGTCTCTACTAAACCTCAAGTCGCTGGTGGTATCGTAACGACAAATGGCTGTGGTGTATAGCGAGGGTTACTGTAAGTACTGAGGTTACGGTAAGTAAATACATATTGTATAAGTAGTTATTGGCTAGATGGCTTTTATGGGCTAAATAGGATACACGATATGGACCAGCGCAACACGTAAAGCTGCTTGAAGCTTGTAAGAACGACAAAAGAATAAGGGGACATTCCAGCTAGAAAGGCATGGGCGTCACGTAGGTCACTGCGCCCTTCTCATCAGTGGGCCTTCTGTAAAGATAAAGTAATGGACCCACCAATGACCAAGGCGGAATGCTCCTTGTGATTCCGCTGATGCATTACGTAACCACAGAAAGTGTCTTACAAAGAGATGGAGTCATCTGAACAGTGCAGGTAAGGCGTACACGACTTAACTAACCTATAAGGAATCCCTCCGTGCAAACGAGCCTTCCGCTCCCATTCAACACATGAAAACCCGATACCCCTTTAGGCCCTACGCCCTCCATCAACCTCCAACACAGCCAACGAAAACATAAGGTTAGTTTCGATAAATACTAATCCTACACACCCACAAAGAGATCTACTGGGGCTTGCAACATGGACCGTGGTTAATGTTTGCCACCATGTACACCTCCACTCTTCCGCGTGGAAGATTCCTTTATGCATCGGTTTTTCTGTGGTAATGAGGACCACGCGAGACGCTACTCTCTCTCACGTAAAATTCCTTTAACAAGTAAAAAAAAATCAAAGGATAAGCTGATTGCAGATTAATTTGATGCATTGATGAGTTTTGTTGATTAACACTCAGTCAGTCTCGGGCCAAATGGATGGAAAAAGGTTTGGCCGCCCACGTTTATGATGAGATCCGTGGAGGAGGGACAGGAATCGCAGTCGGTCGTGCGGAACGTGGTGAAGTTAGGGGCGCAAAGAGCGGACTCTCTTTCGGGACAGTTGGATCGCCCTGTCTGAAAAATTCGTTTTGAGAATCAAATTGCAACAATGTTTCAAACAAAACAACAACAAATATTCCACAAGTCGTGCGTGAAAGACGATTTGGCGACCTACTGACGACTTTAGGAACAGCTTCCACGGTACTCTCGCAGGTTGGATATTAGACACCCCTCCCCAAAGAGATACTGCTGTCTGCAACTATGGAGACGGGGTTCATTTTGCCAGCCAAATGTGTGGTGGGACAGACGTCAGGGCGTTAGAACTTGCCATCAGACGTCCCAAGCTTCCACGCTCCTCCCTCAGCTCTGCGCCTCCTGCTTGCTTCGCCTCTCGTCTGCATACTCTCTCCTCACCTGTCTGACTTCTACCTTCCAAGCGGCCAAAGTGCTCCTTTCAGCCCGCCATCTCCTTGCATCCACGCGACAATCCCCTTCACAGCCACACCCATAACACCATGAATATTTCCAATGCGCTTCATTTTACTCTTTCATTCTCAAGTCACCATCAGCACCTGCATACATATTCTGAACCCAATCACCACATGCCTCTGAGCCTTGTCACGGTTCGCATGAGCTCCGAAAAGGTTCACCGGTCGGAATACAGGGCACGCCCAACGACCCGGCCTCGCACCAAACGCTCATACATCCACCCACCTTCCACCCTGTTTAAAATCACTAGTGCTGCGAAATTACGAAATTGGACCATTCCCGTAGGTTTTCGGGCATTTTTCTGTAAACATCTCCGAAACTCCACTATCCCATCCTAACAAAAAGATTTCATCTTCGAAAAAGAAATCGCGCAATTTGATTTGATACCACCATTCACTCGATATAGTCCCTTAGGAATAGGTTTTCATTGTATCTCCCGAGGCTAACCCTTTCCGCTACCTGCAAGGGAAATCAGAATCACTTTCCCGATCCAGAAAGACTCCTGAGGAGTGAGCCGCTGCGCGTAAGTCTTCTAGACTCGTCGAACAGCCGCGCACCCCATTACTATTAGGTTGGAAAGAAAGTCCTGCAACACTTTTTCAAATTTTTGATTTTAATTTTATCTTTTTTGGTTACAACTCCTGACCGGTCTTATATCTACCATGAGTGTCCACCACTTGTCTCCAATCGCTCAGAAAATTTCTTGATGCTCCTTCGCCAAAACCCAGCGGAGTGCGGGTCGAGAAAGGAGGCGACCTCACTTTCGAGTTGGAGTTGATCGTCTAATTATTTCGTCATCAAGATGATGATTTAAGGTCCAGGATAGGTGCATTCATTCGTATAGCCTCGACCAGGGGAATACGCTCAGAGAGGTAAGAAATCTTGCCGCAGCTCCAGAATTTCTTACCGGGCTCATTTCGGATCATGGTGATTCGCAATGTCATGAAAGAAATGAATATTGTCGCGGTACGAGGGCTCTTGACGAGCTGCCTCGGCCAGCTTCTGGAGTTCCGCAGCCTAGACCTCTACCTACACAATGGTGCCCATAACGAAGAATTTGTAGTGGAGCTTCTGTAAGAGCCCTACCTGTAATGGAGTGTGAGGGACGCTGCTGGCTTCTTATAAAAATATCAAAAGATCGGAAGCGCTGGTAAAGGTGAAACACGCTGTATCGCTGAACGGCATGCCTATAGAAAGCTATTGCAGATAATATTGCCGATAGTAAATCCCTCTGCAGGAATCCATAGTTTTGTAGACATTTGTACTAGACAGTGACTCGGAGTACGGATTTGCTAGTGGTCGAGATTTTTTGAATTTTCTTGGATAACTACTGACTGCAGCACTTATATCCACCTCGTGGATTGAAGCCACGAGAATGCTCTACCATTTGTTAGTCATAAATGTTACCTATGAATTTTTCAGAAAAAAAGAAAATTTTAGAAAGAGTGTTGCAGAACTTTCTTTCCAACCTAATAAGATGACTGTTTTCTCGCTCCAGACTGTATTTTCTCAACGCAGTCTGTCATTCTTTCCTTCAGAACCTAATGCCTCCGAGAATCTTTCACCTTCCAGGAAAAGGAGAGTCCTAGTAAGTGTGTCTAGAGATTTGCATTTGGTTTTTCTTTGCTGGAAAGTCAATCTGACTAAACATTCCATAAATATTTGAAACCACTTTTATCTCGCTTTCGTATGACGGAATAAGCCCTCAACATAAACTGCAGGCCATGCATAAAATCCTAACACAGCCTTGAACTTACCTGAATGACGACATCCGCGGGGAGGTGCGGTCAAATGAGGTTGGGCGCCTGAAACAACTCAGTGTACGAATCTGATAGGCCCTTGGAGCTGCTCTACTTACACCACGTCTTGCATTTCGTAGTTCTCCTCGCCAATGTCGCGTAAGGTCGCATCCAGATCCTCATCTTCCAGATCGCTTCCATTTCCGGACAGACTCTCCTGAGCAGTGAAATAGGAGGTCATGCCGGATTGGAAAGACGAGCGCGGTGAAACCTACGAAAGTAGCTGCACTACGACTATGTAACTAGGTAAAACTGTCAAGCAAAGGGTGAGTCTAGCCGGTTCAGCTGGGGGATGGATGGAATGATCAGTAGGGATATAAGCTACGAGCACGAGTTCCAGTTCAGTTGATCTCTGCTATTGTGTCCCAAATGTCGGGTCCAATCGATAATTCACAATGACACAGGACATTTGGAACATTGAGTGTTGGAATGCTGCAAACGTTGAACAGGTACGGTAGTCACGATGTGTGATAGAATTGTTAGATATTTTATTGACTATACACTGACTATACATATAGCACAGATCACTGGACACAAAGAAGAGTATCGGGATGAGTCGAGCACGCCGTACCACGGCCGAATATCATAACTTGGAGTTAATCAGGGAATCCGCTTCGTCAATGATGGCAAGAGGGGCGAGCGCTGGAGATGCGCGCATCTGAAGAGAGTTCTTCTCTTGCCTATTAGAGAATTCTGAGAGAAATTGACAGAAAGACATATAACTTTGATTGCAGCGTTTCACTCGGAACTCTTATATTTGTGGCATTTATCGGTACAAAGGAATGACGGGAGTAGAAAAAGAACAAGTTCTGAGTTAAGCCTAAACCAATACCCGTAGGAAATTTGAGGAGGCAACGAGCTCGACAGGGTTGGAAAGTTGAGCTGTGTGCTGTGCAGCGCATGATTGGAGAAAAGTGCTAGCTACATCGGTGTTAAAGATATCTTGTGGCAAATGACTCATTTATGAACCTATACATTTTCCGGAAAGCAAAGTGGTGTAGTGGCAAGTGGTGCAGCCTACTAGGCGCATGGTGCGGGGATCAACTTTACCTATGCCTTTCTTGTCGGCGTCAATAACCTTTTCTCTTTACTGCCTTTATTTTATATTAGCGTACTAATTTATTCTTTGGAAGAAAATCAACACAATAACTGATACTGGGCCATGCCTTTAAGTGCAACTATGTATTGTGATCGTAGTTATGTATTAGTTTTGACTTAATCCAACACTGTTGGAAATTCTGTCTGGAAATTTCAAAGCTTTATGGAGGCACATTGCGCGATCACGCAGATGTGGACATGGCGCTCAAAAATGAAGAAATGGGAAACGCAGTCTGTGAAAAAATGAAAGGAAAAGCGTAAAATTAGTGGCGCCTTTTCCTGAGCCCTTGGCAGAGTTCTGAAGAGGACTTTAACGAAGATAAGTTATGAGATGGCGGCCGTCATGCCCGAAAGACAGCTGGGAACGGAAGAGCAAAGCGAGACGAGCGAGGCGGCAGAGCAGACGCTCATCCGCGAGCGCCGATGGCCGAGATGCTCGATAGGTGGAGGCTGTAGGTGGGCGGACCTTTGGTGCTTAGCTCCATTTTGGGCAGTGGGAACGGCACGACGCTTTCATCTACATGAGCAATCAACGCCATAGGCAAGGAAGATCCCATCAGCATTCATTTCGAGAAGCTTAACTGTGAGCAACAAGTGTGGAAGATCTATTTCGTAGGTGGGATGGAGCAGCCTACGAGTACTACAGTTATGCATTGCTGCGGCTCGAAAATGCGCGACAATGGCGCATAGGGTCTTACAAGCTCAACATTTCGCTGCGAATCTTAGCATTTGGACGAGTTACGCAGCGCACACCTCATGACACGCAACGCGGATTATCGGCGTAAGCGCGCAACGCTCAGGTCATTGTGCCGTAACGCAAAAAGTTCGTACAACTCGTCTGGCCCCTCCCCTTCCTCATTTCAAGAAGATCTGTTCAGGGCTTTCACCGGCGATTTTGGTTTTTAAGTCAAATCGGCATCCGCAACTTTATTACCAACCTGTGTGACCCCACAAGTTCGATCTGAGGGTGCTGCTTTAAGCTACACTAATCTATAGAGAGGTAAGGAAAGTAAATAAGTATTAGTCAGCTTCACGAATGTGTGGTTGGTGACGAACACCGACCCTATGCAGCATCAAATGCATACGATTGCCACTAAAAATATGTTGAAATCTGCTAGTTTGAGGTCAATAGTTGGAAAGGAGGACACACCTGTTTTAGCTCAAAATCAGGAGACGGAAGTTCTGAGTGATTTTTATTCAACTGATCTGATATAGTCACATGCTTCGGGCTGTTCCTGGATGATCCTGGAATAAATGAAAGCTCAATTCGATTCTGTGAACAACGCAGGGTGCTCATGCGCATAGAGGTGGCAGCGAAGGAAAACCTCTAATCTCACTCTTTCAAGAACTGCAAAAGTTGTAGAATCGTACATTTTATTTTGATCAGGACCCTGTTTTCCCAGTCATCTCCAAGTCAAAAAAGTATGGGCGAAAATGGTACTACGGTGAATGGGTGCACTTACTAAGCGTAGTTTTTCGGGAGCTTGAGGATGGAATTCTGAATAGGTCAGGCCATCTAAGCCATTCATCCCTCAAGGTCGTTCTGGGTGTAGGTATTGGACACAGTCCAGAACATGACCGGTGATTTGTACATAGTATGACCCCACTAGTCTTTGGGTTCCACATCATCAGAACCGTACTATCATTATATTCTAAACGGAAGCAGAGACCATGGCGTATTTCTTGAAGGATGCGCCACCTGCTTCGGAGATCTTCGAATGAAACTGGGGACGAACTCACCTTCTACAAGAGATGGAGGTGGAGCTAACGGTAAACCTCGTAATAATTGCGCTTCCTCCTCATCTTTAGAGAGTGTGGCTGAAAACATATTCAGTTGCTATGGAATTATGTTTATTATTCATGTTTTAAATATGCTATTGCTAAACTGCCCAAATAAGCTGGCTACTTTTCCCTGATACAGTCAATGGCGTTTTGATTTGGGATGTGAGGGATGGGTTTTTGCCAGCCATTCTATCATTTCAATCACCCACCGGTTTGCTGTTCGCACGATCATCACCCTGACGGGGTGCCTCAATGTTTGGTGAAGAAAAGTGCCCCCCTCTCCCAGATTGCCTAGACCGCCCCACTCATCCAGAAAAGACGACGCTGCTTAGAAACGTTCCCCGCTCAGGAGATTATGTAGGTTCCCGGGAACTTCCAGAAAAGAGATGGGCGACCATCCTACAGAGTCTTGACAAGGAAATGGCTCCTCACAAAACAATAGTGGTGATATGAGGTACTAGAACATTCAGCTGGACCCGTTTGTTCATT